TTTTGTATAATTATTAAATTTTTAAAACAATTTTATGGATTAGCTTCCACCGAGATACAAGAATTTGGAAAAATATAAATGTCAGTCTTGCACGAAAAGATGTCAATCAGAATACGGTCTAAAAATTCACATGAGAAAACACACAGGAGAACGCCCGTTTACGTGTGAGATTTGCTCGAAAAGATTTGCAGATAAATCAAATTTAAAAACTCACAAGCTGCGAAAACATTCAACAGAAAAATGTACATCTCAGGTAAAAACAATATATGAATTAAGTAGTAATTATACTTCGAATATTGTGTTAAAGAAAATTATATCTTTATCTGTTATACTTATATCAAAAAAGCATAAACGTGCAATTAACAAGTTAAACGATTATGCTTTATTTTGCTCATAAATCAGATAATTATAAATATTCGGTCCAAATACAGTCTATTTTAACTCATAAAAATCAGTGTAGCGCATCACTGGTAAATGTATTGTCTGATGCGCTATTTTGCATAACTGCGATACCGTAATTACCGGCCATCTTTTCGTAATCACCATTATAAAACAATGTATGTAATGATCTAGTGGGATTGATTATCATCTTAAAATTCCGATCTACATTTTCAGTTCAATTTAAAATTTAAGAGAAAAACACTAAATAGAACTGTCTAGTTAATCGTGTTTATCAATTGTGTAGATATTTCGAAGAGAAGATACGTCACAGCGTATTCAAACCTCTGAACAGAATATTTCACAATCTGATATTCACCTTCCTGATAAAATTTCGTCAACAGAAGTAACGCACGAGGAACATACCAAAGACAATGACAGAGAAAAAACTTCTCATTCTTCTGAAACATTATACCAATGTGATCAGTGTTCCTTTAGTACAAACTGGAAGAAAAAGTGGTTACAACATAAGCACAGTCAAACTCATGACGCTTCATCCACTTCAATGGTAATTTATGAAATATTAGAACTCTTACTGAATAAGGAAATAGTAATCGATTAATTATAAACCATGTAATCATTACGTAATAAAATAATAATTACACGATTTTATATTGAGTAATGAGCATGAGAAAAGATGTACACGTTGTCGGATTTTTAGAAATATCAGAATATCATGCTATGTACCTTTTTTGTACAGTGAGAAGTATTTTTGTCTACGCCTAACTTTCGAATTATAGTATATAATAAAAAAATAAGTTAGATTACAAGAAAATATGCCGAAACAGAAATATTTAGTGATGTATCCTTTCTCTTCCTTATAATTGAACTCCCGTAATTCAGATTTACATTCCATAAATACTTCGATAACTTGAAAATACAGCAATACTTCATGATTTTCCCACCGAAATATTTAGGACTTTCGGTTCTAATGACAGACAATAAAAGCAGTAACTTATTAACTATTTAAGATATAAAAAGTATAATGTCAAATCTGTTAAAGACAATTATATATATATGTTACTGTGAATGACCGAAATCTGGCGAATGTCAATATTCTCCGGTGAATGTCAACATTCACACAGTCGTTTCGTGTATGTCCGAAATATTTGCTAAATATCGTTATTTCTCACTTACACCGGCAAATGTCGACATTCAGAATGCACTGACGGTAAATGTTCAATAAAGATATTTTTATTACGTTAAGACAAAAATGCAACTTTTTAATATGTGAAAATAGGTGAAAGCTTAAGTAACAGTACATGTAAATAAACTGTTGAACCTAAAACGAACAGTACATTCTATATCATTAAAGAAAATAATACAATAATAAACTTACACATAAATTATGTGATTAACATTATACAATCTTATTTATTGCAACAACTTAAACTGTTATGGCATTTTGAATTGCACAAGAGTCCCTTGCTTTTACAACTGCATTTATTCGTGGAACACTTTTTTTTGCAATGACAGCGTGTATAGCCTTGCCCTCCACTTTTCGAATTAGCTGCAGCTGCTTCTCTCAGCGATATTTCTTGAGAAGAAATCTTACCTATGGAAAATTTTCTTTACAAATTACGAACTGATTACGGGTATAAAGCTGCTTGAGGGTATCATTTTTGTTTGCTAATTTATAAAAGTCGGAGTCTTCTATTCTAACAACAACTGCCAACACATTTCGGGCATCTGTACGGCCACGGTCAACATCAGGGACTTGTATTCGTACGGTATCACCAATTTGAGCAGAAGGAAACGGCGAAGAATTTGGCGACAGACTGTCGCCTCTCCGTCGACATCGGCTTCTCGAGTGTCGTTTCGACCTCCACCAAAGCTTATCTGTGCTTGTCGACATACACCGGCGATTGTTCGAATGTATAATAATATAACAAAATATTCGGTCTTTCACCGACGTATTTTGTATGTGTCGACATTCACCGGAGAATATCGACATTCTCTAATTTCGGTCTTTCACAGTAACATATATATATATAATTTAAATGTGAATCTTAGTAAATTAATTTACGAATATAAAAGTATTATTGGCGCGTATATTAAAAAAATTACAGTTTACTGTCAATTGTTTACATTAATCGAAAACTAAAATGAAAATCAATTATCTAAATATATAAAATTGCTTGTCCTGTCTGGCTGACTGACTCACAGATTCATCATCGCCCAGAGCAAACCGCTGAACCTAAAGAGGTGAAATTTGGTACACAGTTAGGGTACGTCATGAAAATGCACACTAAAAAGGGATTTTTCGAAATTCCCTCGCTGGGGGAGAGGGAGAGGATTAAGGCTTAACCAAAAAAAACGGCTTCTACTGTGCTATTTTAGATGCGATTTTTTGTTTTCAACTACGTTTTCCTTCATTGAGTACTTAGGTGTATTAAATTGATAACATTTCAGATATTGTTACAAATCGACAATTTGTTATAAATAACAAATTCATTTGTTATTTATAACAAATTGAAATGTTATAAATAACAATGAATTTGTTATTACATATTGGTTCGATTATAGAACGATTGATCAAATTAAAAATAGTTAGTTTGATTTTCAGCCGTAGGTGTTATATAATAATTACTGTGATTATTGAAATACTAAATATAAACAGGTTTGCTTGCAAAACTACCGCGGGCGAAGTCGCGGGTAACAGCTAGTCTTACATAAAGTTCTTTCAATCAAATATTAAATTGTTATTTTTCATAGGAAATTGAAGAAACAGAAGACCCACAAATATTGACAGCAGTTAAACTGATTAGCAGAAGCAGATTGGAGACTAAGAAGAAGAAAAAGGAATTCTTTAATTTGGATGAACCAACGACTTCCAAATAAACTTTAGAAAAATTTAAATAAAAATTTATCTATTTTTGCAAAATTTGCATAATCTATTTTCAAAATTAGGTCGAATTTTGAAATTTTCGAAAAAATACATAAAACTTCGTAAAAATAAAGGAAATGTATTAAAATTTAAATATTGCTTTAATTTTTAATAAGTGCTTAATAAAGAATAAAAGAGTAATTAAAAAATTAATGATGCAGATGAAACAAAGTTTCTTTCAGTTTCTCAGTGAGATAAGGTGTCCCTGCACATATCATGTATGTTTGCCTATGTGTCCTTTCTAAACTTCGAGATAATAAATAGATACATAAACGGCAGTACTAGTGTTGGAAAGACTGGGGGTAAGAGGCTCAGATTAACTGTACCTAAACTTTCGATTTAGAATGGAAGTAATGTTATTCCGAATCATACTTTTTCCCCCAACGAAGTTAGATACATGACTGGCACAACTCTGTTGCTAAGATGAAACGTAAGATTTACAGAAATAAAACAACCACTAAAAAGTTGAGAAGATTGTGACCAAAAATTGCAGGTTGCAGAACTCACAATAAATAATCGCTCGTTTGAATTAGTTTATTGCATTACTGCAACACGACACGTGAGCGATATGCCGAAGGGATGAATCCCCGAAAACATTTATGAGAAGTTGAATCTATTTAGGTGAAAAAACCTGGAAACTTCACGTGGTCGGCCCGTTGGCCATGCCTGCACCCACAATTAATTACCTTCAACTGTTTGTTGGTTTTATGCTGGAGGCACTTATTAGAATTAGGAAAATATTATTCAGAAATGAAAAAAACCCGAGTCGTTAGAAGTGGAAAATTAAATACTTATAGACTTTTCACAGGATAATATTTTCGATTGCACACAAGCATATGCTATCTGTTACCTGTCTGAGTGCTAATGTACTGAGTAAATGCTATTTCTCATTGTATCGTTGTCACAGTAATTACATAAATGTAATATATATATATATATTTGAAATTATATATTTTTTTTTTTTGGTAAGAATTATATTCAGTTTGTTATTTTGTTGAATTTTACGCTAATAGGGGACGTTACGTGTAAATCAGCAAATCAAATGAAGTAGAAATTAATTGATTTACAGAAATCCAATGGATATTTTGAAATATAATGAACGACATTATCTAAATTAAAAGTATTTGAACAAAAGTGTCGACATTCGTAGCAATTGGTCGAACGGTCTAGTAGTGTAATGCAAACAAACATCCAAACAAACATTCTCATTTATAAGGACGCATTTATGTTATCGTAAATTTAATACGTAAAGTATAATTTATAAGTCATAAAATTTTTAACAAAAACATTAAAAAGTGAATCTGGAAAGAATCCAGGCAGGTCGATAACCTCGGATATTTCGTGTCCCGTCATCATTCAGTTTTTCTATTGTTTGCCTGGCTGAACTCATGTTAAGATTTAAAGAGTTTGTCAACATATAAAAAGGAAAAATATTGTAATGCTGGCAGAAACTATAAATATACCGAAGTAAACGTTAATCAAATTATTAATACATTTATTATCGAAAAGTTATAATTAGTTTTAGTAAAATATGTTTATTTATAATGAATTTCGAAATAATTACTTGCTATAAACAAGTAATTGTTTGAATGTAATCTTTTAACAAAAATATACATACAGTAGATACAGATATATCCTTATGCAGACCTTCCTTTCCAGATGCACATCTTTTGCTTCAAATCTGCGTTTTCTATCACATTTCCTCACATTTTCATTGCATCGACTCCTTAGTTCTTTTTAGATACTCATCCACTTGTTCCAATTCCAGACTTTCTTGACCGTCACCTACCGCGCATTTTATTCACCTTTTCTCCCTTCGAAAATGAATCTCAATGTAGTTGAACCACGATAAAATCTTCTTACTCAACTTTCAAATCTTATTTCTAGAAACCACACATCTTTCTGGTATCGCGATAGAATTGTAGCGAAGTAGTGCAATTTTGTAATTAAAAACTTTTAATTACAAATAATATATATGAATTATCTNTATTCAGTTTGTTATTTTGTTGAATTTTACGCTAATAGGGGACGTTACGTGTAAATCAGCAAATCAAATGAAGTAGAAATTAATTGATTTACAGAAATCCAATGGATATTTTGAAATATAATGAACGACATTATCTAAATTAAAAGTATTTGAACAAAAGTGTCGACATTCGTAGCAATTGGTCGAACGGTCTAGTAGTGTAATGCAAACAAACATCCAAACAAACATTCTCATTTATAAGGACGCATTTATGTTATCGTAAATTTAATACGTAAAGTATAATTTATAAGTCATAAAATTTTTAACAAAAACATTAAAAAGTGAATCTGGAAAGAATCCAGGCAGGTCGATAACCTCGGATATTTCGTGTCCCGTCATCATTCAGTTTTTCTATTGTTTGCCTGGCTGAACTCATGTTAAGATTTAAAGAGTTTGTCAACATATAAAAAGGAAAAATATTGTAATGCTGGCAGAAACTATAAATATACCGAAGTAAACGTTAATCAAATTATTAATACATTTATTATCGAAAAGTTATAATTAGTTTTAGTAAAATATGTTTATTTATAATGAATTTCGTAATAATTACTTTCTATAAACAAGTAATTGCTTGAATGTAATCTTTTAACAACAATATACATACAGTAGATACAGATATATCCTTATGCAGACCTTCCTTTCCAGATGCACATCTTTTGCTTCAAATACACTCCTGCGTTTTCTATCACATTTCCTCACATTTTCTTTGACTCAACACCTTAGTGTGAGGCTCTGGACAGGTCCGAACCCGCACTAAAATTCGCGTTAAAATAATTGTTTTAGAGAAAAAATTACAGTAGTTAGAAATAGCTTTTTATTTTATGAAAACGCGTNCTGCGTTTTCTATCACATTTCCTCACATTTTCTTTGACTCAACACCTTAGTGTGAGGCTCTGGACAGGTCCGAACCCGCACTAAAATTCGCGTTAAAATAATTGTTTTAGAGAAAAAATTACAGTAGTTAGAAATAGCTTTTTATTTTATGAAAACGCGTCGCTAGCTTTTAAACAATAGAAGAATGTAAGTCCATCCACCATTTCCGGTTGGAGATCGAATTAATCTTCGATTTTGACCTCTCCCGCTCCCCCGAAAGGTATCGAATTGTCATCAGGTGACGACGGGAGACCAATCGGAAAGGGGAATCTGAGAGAAAACAGATAAAACCCCGGAAATTCGAGGACGCGACGGCTTCTCCCGAAAGTTCCAAGTGACGGATCTATTGCTGTGTGTGTGTCTCGCACCCATCTTCGTCTCCATCTCCCGACCTCGGATCGACATCTTTCCATCAACGGAAGTCGACCGCATCGTCCCGAAGTCGTTGAGACGTAATGGAATTGTTCATTCGCGAACAAAGGACACTCCTTCAGAATGGGACTATCTTGGAAAGGAGAGGAAGACCCAAAGGCCGCAGCCGCCGCAGAACTTCCAAGATCGCGGAAATCTTGTAAGCTTCTTTCGTGTTTAATAAACAGTTGTGTTGTTTGTAAACAAAGCATCTATCTCTGACGCAACTGCTTCCACATATCGTTGATTGTTACCGCTCGGCAGTCCAAACGGCAAAAGAGACGATGACGATACATATCAACTATTATCGTTCGTCATCGAGATTTTTTTATTTCTCCCCCCCTCGGCCCCCACATTAGTTTTTTTCAGATACTCATCCACTTGTTCCAATTCCAGACTTTCTTGATCGTCACTTACAACGCTTTTTATTCACCTTTTCTCCCTTCAGAAATGAATCTCAATGTGGTTGAACAACGATAAAATCTTCTTACTCAACTTTCAAATCTTATTTCTAGAAACCACACATCTTTCTGGTATCGCGATAGAATTGTGGCAGAGTAGAGAAATTTTCTAATTAAAAACTTTTAATTACAAATAATACATATTAATTATCTTTTACTCCATCTACCTCGAGCGCTGAAATGTGCTTAAATGTATATGCAAAAGATTCATTATTAGAACAGTTGTGTTGTAAGAATTAAAGACAAAAAAAATTATGTGTTCTCTGACTAGAAGAAAACAGTTACTGGCCATACTAGAGGGCAATCCTTGCAGCTTCTAGGCACGAAAAACTATCGTTATAAATATAACTTACGAACAGGAGATTCCTACGTTCGCTCGACGTCGATTGCATTGTTTTTGTGTTTTGTTAAGTTATAGATCTCAATTTGCTTACGGCGCACGCAGTGCATTATTTTGTCCCTAAATCCTTCAACGTGCGCTTAATAGCCACAGGGAGCATGGACGTTAGTACTTGCGCCCGACAGTGTTTCGAAAATGAAGTCACGTACACTCACTTTTTATTAAATTTGTGGATTCCTCAATGAAATTAGTGAAAAATGACAAACTTTAATCGAAGCTGATCGATAAATTTTATGAACGAACAAAATTTTATAAGTCAGACAAAACAAGATTCAGTAACGTCCCGCTCAAATATTTCAATTGTACTTCTCTGAAACAATTTGATTGGGGCATTTTTTGTTAAAACATCAAACAATTGATCATAAACAATTGCATTTCATTAATTATATTTGAACAATATTTTAACCAAAATTGTTGAATTGTTGAAAGCTGGAATAAAATAAAAATGGTAAGTGTTAAAATCTTGTACTTATATTTTTGAAACTAATTCAAAAAATAAATCTAAAGATTATTATATCGAGTAGATTATATATAATAATGTGTACCGTTAAACGTTAGTAATATCGACGTATTTTTTAAAAGGCGTCTACTTCAAGTGACAACAAAGACGTCATCGAATGCAAGATCTGTAAAAATCAATATTCTACACAACAACTATTCGATGATCATCTGAAAAATAATCCTGCTTGCAGCAAATTAACCTGTGATGTTTGTCTAAAACAATGCATTCATATTAAGAGTTTGAACACTCACAAAAGGACTCATTTAAAAGAAAAGCCGTTTAAATGCGATGAATGTGAATATTCTACAATAAGGAAGTCAAACCTAAACAGACACCAATTAACACATTCAAAAAAACAATTGTATAATTGCAAGTATTGCGGTTTACCTATTTCAAGAAAAGATCATTTAAACACACATCTTTTTGTGAAACATTACGAAGAGTTGTCTTCACCTGACGAAGTATGTATGTTGATGCATTTTTGCTAACCTTTAACGTAATAAATCACAAAGAAACACTTACATGAAATATACTAGAATCTGTAATGTCATTTTAAAACAGTCCATTTCCGCAAGTGATTCAGTTACTCGTATTTATCACAGATTTTTACTCTGTTTTGTTTCTTTATTCATAATCATTCTGATTCTAGTTTATGCAGTGTGTGTTTTCCTGGTAAACTAATAAACTGCATATTTGAAGCAAAGAAATTAATATACGACTTCTCTTAAAATGAATTAAATGCCACATGTAATGTCCCTAGAAGAACGCAACGATTCTTTCGTCAGCACATTTGTAAATGTTTTATTGTTTGAACAGTTATCATTTTGCCAATATTTTTTAATATTAAATCATTTTAATCATAAAATACACAACAGCTTTTGCAAAACACTGAGATTCCATATATTATACATTATATATTTATTATACTATTTTATAAACAAATATTTTATTTTACATCAGCAGGTTTAATTTATTATAAGTAATATATGAATAGTTTCCTTACGTAGTTTCAAAAACATATATCAGAATGATAAATATATTTTTAACTTTCACTTGAAAATTTCATATTTATTTTGTATAATTATTAAAACTTTAAAACAATTTTATGGATTAGCTTCCACCGAGATAAAAGAATTTGGAAAAGTATAAATGTCAGTCTTGCACAAAAAGATGTCAATCAGAATACGATTTAAAAATTCACATGAGAAAACACACAGGAGAACGTCCATTTAAGTGTGAGGTTTGCTCGAGAGGATTTACAAATAAATCAAATATAAAAGCTCACAAGCTGAGAAAACATTCAGCAGAAAAATATATATCTCAGGTAAAAACATCCTATTCTTTTAAAAGTAATTTTACCTCGAATATTGTGTTATAAAATTTATATCTTTATTTGTTATACTTATATCAAAGAAAGCATAAACGTGCAAGTAACGAGTTAAACGATTATGCTTTATTATGCTCATAAATCAGAGTATTATAAATTCGTTCCAAATACAGTCTATTTAAACTCATAAATGTCAGTGCAGCGCATCACTGGTAAACGTATTATCTGATGCGCTATTTTGCATAACTGCGATTTCGTAATCACCGGCCATCTTTTCGTAATCACCATTATAAAACAATGCATATAATGATCTACTGGGTTTGATTATCACCTTAGAATTCCGATCTACATTTTCAGTTCAATTTAAAAATGAAGAGAAAAACACTAAATACAACTGTCCAGTTAATCGTGTTTATCAATTGTGTAGCAATTTCGAAGAGAAGACACGTCACAGCGTATTGTAATCTCTCAACAGAATATTTCACAATCTGAAATGCACCTTCCTGATGAAATTTCGTCAACTGAAGTAACGCAAGAGGAACATATCAAAGACAATGCCAGAGAAAAATCTTCTCATTGTTCTGAAACATTATACCAATGTGATCAGTGTTCCTTCAGTACAAACTGGAAGAAAAAGTGGTTACAACATAAGCACAGTGAAACTCATGACGCTTCATCCACTTCAATGGTAATTTATGAAATATTAGAACTGTTACTGATTAAGGAAATAGTAATCGATTTATTATAAATCATGTAATCATTATGTAATAAAATACAGTCGACCCCCTATAATTACGGTCCCTATAATTACGATTCCTATAAAACTACGAAAAAATATACGTATTTTGGAAATGTTGAGTCGAATTAGTGTAGAATCGATTAATTTTATGGAAGAAA